CCATAATCCTTAGTTTACGTGGGTTACTTTAACACTTAATATTTCATTCAATTTTAAATGATTTTCGATAAATAAATATATCACGTTAATCATCTCGCGAAGTAGAACGTGAATATGCTAGGTCCGGTATTAATTAAAAAGTGGGTCCCACTAAAATTTGGGCTCAAAGTTGACCCATTAACCATTTATCTAACATTAACTCCTTATTGAATTTAGAGAAATCTTTGAAATATAAGTTTTGGTTATTCATGTTAAGTGGGTTTGGACAAAATAGCAACCTAATGCATTGGCTTATTAGTATTTTGGTACTGGCGTGTTATAATTATAATATGTCTCAATTGTACCTCCAGGCCTTAGGTTGTCACCTCGAATTTATAGGCGAGATCAAGTTGGTTTTGTAACAAGATCATTCCTACGAGACTTTAAGTTATCATCTCGAACTTATAGGCCATGTCAAGCTATGAGACACTAGCAACCTAGTGCTCTAATACATTATTATTTGAGTTATTGCATGTTGTAGCATCTATCGATCTTACCTTAAGACGTTAGGTTGTCACATCGAACTTTTAGGTAGGTCAAGTTGGTTAGACGATCACCTTGAACTTCTATGCGAGATCAAGCTGGTTTTGTAAAACGATAATAGCGGTCCAATGTATTAACATATTATTATCGGAGTTATTGCAAGTTATGACACGTGTTGGATGTACCTTAAGATGTTAATAGTTAACTCGAACTTCAAGGTAAGATCGCGCTAGTTTGGTAGCAAGTTCATTCCTTTGAAACTTGAGATTGTCACCTCAAACTTCTAGGCAATGTGAAAGTGTTTCATAATGGGACAATAACAATGTAGTGCTTAAACATGTAATATTTATTGCATGTTGTAACATATGTCAATCGTACCTTAAGACAACTTCCAGGCAAGATCAACTTGGTTTCACAATAAACTTATTTGTTCAAAACTTTAGTTTGTCACATCGAATTTCTAAGCAAGATCAAGATAGTTTCTCTACGAGCTCATATATGTTGGGTCGCATATTGCGTTGTTTAATAAATCTTCGTGACTTTACTTGAATGTCTAATATCCCTTGATTTATGATGCATTATTTTTGTGTTTCAAAAGAATCATTTAGATTCAATTCATTGAAAATTCAACATAATAACCATAATACTAATAAATTTTCAAATTAATAGATATGAACCTTTGTATTAACTTTTCTTTTGCATTATTTGTGGCTAGTGATCACTTTACGACCGTTACACTTGAAGTGAGGCATATAGTTAAATAGTTATTTTTTTGTTAATTTTGAATAACTATATTTCAATATCATTATGAGAGAATTTTGATCAGAATAACATATTGTAGTTGTCAGGTTTGTTTTCCATAATTGTATTGCAAGAATATCTTTAATTAAAATTGTGTTATACCTTGGCACCTTTTATAAATGCTTTTGGACTTATTTAACATTTAAAAAAAAAATGTTAAAAGTATAAGTCAATTTTGTTCAATTAAAAATAAAATGTGTATCAATGACCAAATATTAATGTTCTATTGATCGAGCTGTATCAACTTTAAGGAGTAAATTATTTGAAACTTACAAAATGAGTTGTTTGGTTAATCTTGTAAGGTACGTTTGAAGAATAGCAACTTAATGCGTTAAAACGTAAATACTTGAGTTATTGCACGTTGTTATATGCATCATTTCTTTAAGATGATAGGTAGTCACTTCGAACTTATTTATAGGCAATATCAAGTTAGATTCATAGCAGGATTAGAGAATGTTTGATAAATAAGCTTCCACCCTAAATGTACTAGGATCTATTGGCTAAAAGATGAGCCATACAAATAACATTATCCTTAGAATTAGAGTAATACTACAAAAACAGGGATAACCAACAAGGTTTGAATCTAGGGGATACATGTCATGCATTGATTGAGTAGTTAAAAAAAATCTCCAAACATGTGCTAACATGCAGCACCTATTTTCAAATCCTGTTGGCTAGCCTGTTAAAGTAGCACAAGTCTTAGAATTATGGTATTTAGCACCCGTCTAAATGAAAGAAAATGGTCACCTAGATTGGTACTAATAATAACACTTTTATCCTTATTCTCTTACGAGGTGTGGGTCCATACTTGGCTCATCTTTGTCCTCACATTTTCATGGATCCCGATGTTTATAACATAGCAAATTAGTGGCCAAATATGTTGTGCAATATTTTGAGACTTAACATTGTCACCTCAAACTTCTAAGCAAGATTTAGTTGGTCTTGTAAAAGTCTCATTTATGTCAGAGTACATTATATTGTATGATAATCTTAATGACTTTAAATTTGATTAAATGGTAGAGTTAAAGCTCATCATATTAATAATAAAGTGATTTAGTCCTAGTGCGAGCCCCATTATTTTAGATTATGTTTTGTAAAATAAGTTTTTTAAAAATCGTGTGGTTCAAAAGTAGGGAGAAATTTTGAATTTACATGTAAAATTATTTTAATTAGAAGAATATGAAAAAAAAAATGATAATTAAATGATAAATCCCAACCTACTACAAATCAAGTGGACTGTCAAGAAACAGAGGCAAAGAAAAAAGTAAAAAATAATTCAAAAATTAATGAAGTTAGTGTCTGCAAATTGTACAATCAACCATACAAAAAATAAGTGGAGGTTCGAGATGGACTAGACCTTGTAAGAGAACATATAATAAATGACTTATTTTTAACGAAATTATAAAGAGTACTATTAGTCCCCTTATTTGGATTCATAGGGGGCCAAATGAGGGCTTAATCTAATCATCATGTTGTCATCTGCTTATATTGATTGTTATATTTTTATACTAAAATCCTTATGAAATCTTATACGGTGCACCCTACGTGTAATGTTGTTTGCATGGTGATCATCACACATGCAAAAGCAAAGATAGAGAAGTTAATAAAACCATTGAAATTCTCAAAAAATTAAATTAAAATGGTTAAGAATACAATTCAATAAGTAAAATAAGTTTTTAATATTGTTCAATATAATTATTATAAAAAATTGAATATAATTTTCATATTAAACTGCAATTAAAATAATTTACATGTATACAACATAATTCTATCATATCATATTACATTACATTAGTTGAAATGGAAAGATGATTGATCTATGCTGTCATTTTGTTTGATGTTGATGTTGATATTGATATTGGTGGAGAGCCATCTTCATTGACTACTACTCATGTGATTTGAAATTTAGAACCATATTTTTGCTTTCTTATGAGGTTTTGACCTAAACAATTGTCTTTTGACAAAAAGTTTTGATATATTATACAACATAGTGCATGCAATAATGTGAATGTGTACTTTTGGAGAATTATTTACGGTATTATTTATTAACTATATGTCACGAGACCGCTCAAGGGATTAGAGCTTAGTTGCCTAAATATAAAATATTGTCAGCACTGTATAAGTCGGGTTGTTTGAGAATATAATTCCAAATGAGAGGTGGATTTCATTTAAGGTTAAAAAGATAAATGGATAGTGAACACATGTCAAAAAAGATCGAAATTATTGAGAAGAAAATAGATGAGTGGCGAAGAGCATCCAAGTCATATGTGGAATGACATTGAGTTGATATGCCAATTGACTTGAAGTGTGGACTAGCACAGATACTAGCAATTATCTAATTATCAATACATGTATACTTTCTAAAAGGAGTTGACACAAACCAAATTTAGTTTACAAGAAATTTAATATTTTAGCTCATGTATCGAAACTATATTTCTCGGTGTATCTCCTTGAATTATTCCTACTTAAACTCGAGGTTTCTTCATCTCAAGCAAGAGCCTTAATCATAAATTCGTACGATCTAAAATCACAATTATAGAAATTGAAGTTAGAATATATTATTCTTTCACTACAAATAAACTGGATTGATATAGAACATATTATTGTCAACATAACATTTTCACGTGTGACGTTCTTGTACATTACAATAATCGTAAGGTTTATACAATGTAAAGATGACTATAAAATAAGATGAACTAAATAATATTAAATAAGAAAAGAAAATAATATTTTGCATATGAGTAGTGATGGACAAAATGTCACGACCAAATTATAACCGAACCAACCGAGCTATTTGGTTGGGGAACCAAACTTAATATTTGTATCCATTGGAGACAACTCGTTAATCAATTATGAGTCATTGAACACAATTCGTAATTTGTATTCACTTGAATCATTTTTCCTTAACTCTTTTTCAATTTACATAATGCCACAATACACTGGCATTGCATTTCATTAAGTTAGTAGAGAAGACTCTTTCAACGTCGAAAAATAAAATTGGTCAGTCACTTAAAAAGCCATTAAACTATTTTTTTCTTTGATTCTTTGATCAATCGTTTGTGTTCTTCAAAACTAGAGAAAAAATCCAATAAACATTTATGGAGTGTTAAACGGTTAATGGTTGCTCATAAAAGTGGACTGTAAAAGTTTTGCATTATTTATCATTTATCGTGGGAGTGTGCTATCAGAATTGTTGGAATTAATTTAGTGAATCATTACTATTACTTATTAAACAATGTTTTGTATGGAAATGAAAATTGATTTATTCAAATTATGACTAAATTTTATTTGTTAGTTTGGATTTTTGTAATCATAATGATTGATAATTTGAACTTGTTGAATGTTTGATGTATATTTTTTTTATTTAAGTATATGTTACTAACTTTTAAATATGTTGCAAATCTGAAATTTTAAGAAATGAAACGAGAACTTAATCAAACAAAACTAAAATCGAACGGTTTGGTTCGATTTGGTTCCATATATTAACAAAAAATCATTTGGTACTATTATCAAAAAAATTACTGGTTCATGATTCAGTTCGATTATCTTGAAATCAGAAACAAATGAAGCAGTATCCACCTTTAGTATCGAGTACCAAATTGGAAATATACCCAAAGTTTTTTACATGGCGATAATTTCATGTACTATCCGGTTCACCGGCCCATTTAACTTAAAAACCTAAAACCTAATTCCCATCCTTCCCTCCTCTCCCCCTCTCCCCCCTTATTCTTCCTTATACACAAGCATAGGAGCTGAACCGTGATATATGCTTGTAAGTATTTTTATTAATGGAATTAACCTTTTTTTTTTTATTATTTTTCTTGTTTTGTTGATCAATCCTTAAAAGAATTTCATGGGTGATTTACAGAATAAGTAAATGGAGCAGAGATTGGCTAATACATGGCGAATGACCGTAAACGAGAAGAAGTTCATCGAAACAGCTTTACTTTCGGACCTTAGAATTGATGGTCGTCGCCCTTTTGATTACCGTAATATAACTATCCGGTTTGGTAGGTAAGAATTTTTGACACCTTCGTTATTTTCTTTGAAGTTGTTTACTTGCTTTTCGGGCACTTCTTGCTGGTATAATAGTTGTGGCTTAGTATTTTTCAAGAATGCAATGGTGTTTATTCGTTTAATGATGATAGTTTTCATAAATTCTGGCATTTGCATTCTCGACTGAAATTTTATATCTTGAAATTATAAGATAAGCTCCTCTAACTTTTGGTTCCCTGTGTTTTCTAGTAATGTTCAACATTCATGCTCAATTTAATTAGCCTATGTTCAAGTTTGTTAGGAACATTAACAATGCCTCATTTTCTCCAGTGACATTAAATGCTTTGAATAGAAATTGGTTGAATATAAAATATCATTCAACTTCGTACTAACCTCTTTCTAATTTATCAAGATCCATCCTTTTTTATGCATTCAAGAAATTGTGGTGTGTGTGCAGGGAAGATGGGTCATCAGAGGTGCAGCTCGGCCAGACTCATGTAATGGGGTTCGTAACTTGCCAACTGGTGCAACCTTATCGGGACCGGCCTAATGAAGGAACTCTTGCAATATATACTGAGTTCTCTCCGATGGCTGATCCTTCATTTGAGGCGGGACGTCCTGCAGAATCTGCAGTGGAGTTGGGACGCATAATTGACCGTGGATTAAGGTGAGGTTACCATCTTGGAATAAGAAAAAAAAATTGGTAGGATTGCACTCGAGTTTTGAACTTTTTTATTATATTAGTTAAAATTTTGAAATATCAGGAAGCTACAATAGCTGCAGAGTTTAGAATTTAAAATATCAAGAAATTTGAAATTAGGTTTCACGATTCCATCTCAGCACGCTTTAAAAAGAATATAAAAAATTACTAACTCTTAGAAGATCTAGGAAATATTGTTGGTTTGATTATCTGAGAAACCAGGTGGTTGAAAAGCTAAAACACACATTTGAGTAATGAATTTCTTATTCTAACACAGCATGGTGAGAACTGAATCTTCCTGCATAATTTAGTGAACGGGGATTGGTTTATATTTTGAAATGAAATTTGATTTATTTGGTGTGGAAAAAGGATATTGTGTTGAGATTAGAATGGACTTTACAATTTACCAGATGCTATGAACCAGTTTGATCTGTCTAGAATTGGGCAGTCTTAACTGTCAATTCTAGACAGTCCAGTTTTAGACAGTTCAACTGTCTAGAATTCGACAATTAGGAACTGTAATTCTAGTCGAATTCTAGACAGTTCTGCAACAGCCCCTTTTGTTCAGTATTTTCTCATTGTAGTTCTGATATGTCTTTTGCAATTGTATCTTCTTTTTCTCAAATGATGACTATGCATCTCAAGACTTCTTTATTTGAAAGTGAATTTTAACGAGTTGATGTACAATTGAGCCAACCATGGTTAAAAAAAAAACTTATTCAACCAAAATCCTATTATCTACTCAGATTAAGTAACTCAGTTAAGTTCATGATATATTTCTTGTATTGAATGACAAATAACCTAGACTTGAAATAATTTTGTTGAACTATGAAAATGTGTTGCAGGGAAAGCAGGGCCGTGGACACAGAATCTCTCTGTGTTGTTGCTGGGAAATGGGTGTGGTCCCTTCGTGTTGATCTCCACATATTAGACAACGGAGGGTGAGTTGTAAAGATTCTCGTTTAAACTCCAATTAATGATTTATATGCTTCTTCAGCTATGCCTTTTTCCTTTGAGAATAGAAATCTTGTTGATGCTGCCAATATTGCTGCTCTTTCGGCCCTACTTACATTTCGGAGGCCAGAGTGCACATTTGGAGGAGAGGATGGTCAAGACGTTATAATACATGCACCAGAAGTGAGTTTGTCCTTTTATTGATGAATTTTTCAAAATCAAGATTTCTCTCCATTAGAGGGGTGCTAGGAAAATCAAGTTTGGCTTTACAGAGGAAGAAGTTGGTTTTCGCCCGATGAGTTTCTGCAAAATTCACTTTATGTTGGTGATTTGGTGGCATTGTTCTCTGTACTAGTTATTATTTCACCCGAGAATAAATTTTGAGTTATTACATTTTTAATTTTTGCACTTTGGCAGGCAAGGGAACCTCTTCCATTAACCGTGCATCACCTCCCTATAGCAATAACCTTTGCGTTTATTGGTGACGAGAATACAGTCGTAAGCACAATAAAATTTAGGCATTGCATCCTCCCTCTCTCTTGTCATTATCATTTTCTTTTCCTTTCTTAAATATAGTGAATCTGCCAATGGATAAGTAATGTTTGCAACATTGTGCTGCTAGGTGATTGACCCGACGCACTTCGAAGAAGCTGTTATGGGAGGAAGAATGACTGCCACTGTAAATGCAAATGGCGATATATGTGCTGTTCAAAAAGCTGGAGGAGAGGGCGTCATACAGAGCGTTATTATGCAGTGTTTACGGATTGCCTCTGTGAAGGCTGCAGATATAACGACGAAAATAGAAGATGCCGTAATTATCATGCTTTTCTATTTCCCCGACTTCACTACCGATCCTTTCAATATCCATTTTACAGAAGTTTACATATAATTGCTATTGGAGGCATGGAAGTATTTTTCATCTACTTAAATATATCGTCCATTTTCTGCAGGTCAAGTCGAACAATACAGAAAGAGCTCTAAGAAAGATCAAGCGACACCCTCCCTCTGTTGTAGTTGATGTCATCAAAGCTGGTGAAAAGGGGGCAAATAATTTGTTGAAGGAAAATATGGAGAAGCCACAACTAAAAATAGAGGACAGCAGTTTCAGTCAAGGCGATGACATGGACATTGAAACCGAATCGTCTAAGCAAGATGATGGTCGAACAAGGACTGACAAAGATGCAAGTTTCATTGGCGGGCCATCAAGTTGGTAAGAGTCTTGCGTTATCCAATTTTTGAACTTTGCTCTAATCTATCAAAACGAGCATTTCTTGGGCTTAGATTTCTGTGATTACTTCAGGGTTAAAGATTTTTCCTTGGTTCTGGAAATGGACCTTAGGGCTTGTTTGATAAAACTTTATTTAACTTATAACTGATCAAATTACAACTTTAATCACACATTTCACGAGCCTACAACTTGTATAACTTTCAACCATACATTTGAGCAACTTTTAAAAAAATTGCTAGAATTTTTATCAAAAGATTGTCACTCAACCTCTTAATATATGGATAATGAAATCCCTTTTTGTGATATTTTTGTTAAGTAGTTGCAATAGTAAAAAATGATTTCCTGACCTGTTCTTTCTTCTTTTTGCAGGGATCCGTATTCAAAGGGTGTCAATGCTGACGAATTGAAAGCATCTCTTGCCTCACGAGGTAATTCGTTTTATGAGGTCTAGGAATTTACCATTGCATCTAATAGAACACCACCATTCATTTGACGTGTTCGTTTAATTTTCTTAGTATCTGATGGTAATGGTTTCACGATGTGTGTAGCATTATGTTTCAGACAAGGAGAAAGTATTGTATTCTCGTAAACAATTTTACGTTGTGCAGTTGCAGTGACATCCCCGAAAGACACAACACCACTGGTGGAACCACCTGTAACTGTAACGGATCTGCCAGTCACATCTACGACTGCAGCATCTTCATCAACAGAGACTACTGGAGCTGGACAGCAGACGAACAAAGAGAAGACGTTAAAGGATGCTGTGAAGCCGAAGCACAAAAGGAAAAAGAAGACGTCAGCAAGTTAAGAAAATTCTGCACGAGCGATCTCTTTTGATGCATGTAAGTAGTCCTCTCTTCGTGCGAAATGTTTCAAATCAGATATTCATATTCTGGAAACATTTAGTTCATGTTTGGCGCTATTATTAAATGAATAATGCTATTCATAGTCAGCGATTGCAACCCGGGCTTGAACCGTGAAGAGGAAGGTCATAATGTTGACATCATCCAGTTTACCAAGTTTTATTTTCTTGGAATTCATTCCGACTCTGCTGGAAGTAGTGCTTTACAAGGTTTTTCCGATTCCGATGCCGATGCCGATTGTGCAGTAGCTCTGTCTTCAGGAATTAGGAACCTGGAAAGTTTAGGCAAGATTTTATTTGGAATGTAAATTTGATGTAGTATCTGCTTATGGTTTTATAATATTCCATGGGAAATTAGTTGAATAGCATATCTACTGGCTTTTTTAATTAATTGAAATTAGTAGAAGTGTAAGCGAACCCACTCGATAACTAGTATCTATTTGTAGTCAGGGTTGAGCTACATTTTTCATTATATTTTCTTGATGATTGTCCACTCGAAGCCTAATACTTGTAACTCGACAATTTTCTAAGTGAACGAACCATATCAACCAAGAGTACATTTCTTTATTACAGCATATTTTCTTAGAGAACAAGCCACTAGACCATATTAGTACTATTTGACCAGGTCAGATTTTTCTTGTTCAACATATAACAAGCGCACTGACCTCATTACCTCAATTCGACTAAGCTGAAGCCACTCAAACCCTGATATTAGCAACTTGAACACGGTATAAAGGTCATCTTCAACTTCAGTTCCCACTTGAGCCCTAAAATAAGGAACCAAAAGTGCATTCATGAACGAAGAATAAGCCACTAAACATTCAGTATCGCGCTTTACAGTGGGTTAACGAAATTCAAATACTCGTGCAGCCTGATGCTAAGTTAATGAAGGTAAGCATTATGTGCTAAAAGCCTTCTCTGGTTTTTTTTTTATTTTTTTATTTTTATTTTTTATTTTTTGGTTGCTGGGGGGTGGGGGAAGGCGGGGGCTAGCCCAGTTGATTTTGACCTATTTACTCTCGTTCTTTATCACACAATTGTTTGACATAATAATTGAAATCTTTGAATAACATTTTCAAGATTAAACTAAAAAACAGCGAGTATTCTTTCTCTATGGCATCTTTTAGTAAATTGGATACAGTTACTGGTACATGATATGGCAAGTAGAAAGGAAACATCATTCTCAAAATCTACAAGAAACTTAGTTAACGTTTCTTCCAAACACATATACGGATTTTAACATGCACCAAAAGATCATTTATTGTCCAACATTACCAACAACTATGAAATCGTCGTTTTATAACCACACAGATGAGTTGCTATTGTTTCGGGTATTTATTTTAGCGGTATAACTATTGTACATATTGTAAATGAACAAAATTTCAACCTACAGGAACGTAGTAGAAACACTATTATTGTAAATAAAAGTTCCAATCCGCTGGAGCGTAATTAGAACACAATGTAAGGACACAAAGCATATGACTAAAACGACCACACAAAACCAAAATGAAATGAGTAGAAAAAGAAATCCGAGGTAAGTATAACTATTTCTTTAAGACAAATTACCTCGCTACGATGTTCACAATTGAATGACAAATGTTTCCGAAGATACAACGGATACATACTTGTGCTAACAGCACTTCATACTACAAAATTGGTGAAACTTCAACGGAATTTTCCCTCTACAAAGGAATGTTATGAGAATGAGAGAAAGATGAATTCTAAGAGAAAAATGGATGCTCAATGCAATGCTATGTTTAAAACCACATCCATAAGGTCTTATTTATAGATGTAGAAAGGGTACAAATGAAGTATTGTGGACCAAAACCTTCATCATTTCGAAAAGTTGCAACACTTTATTTCAAAATCTGCTTCCTTTCGAAAAGTTGCAACATTTCATTTCTTCCAATTTTGGATCACAATTTCTCATTCATCTGGAATTGGTTTCAAAATTTCAAATATACTACGACGATCTACTCGAAGAGTAGAATAAGTTGGTCTATTTACTTTTGTAATTTGACCATCAGATCAAGTTCGAATATTTGGCCGAAGTTGACAAAAAGTCACACCTTTCCATTTTTCCAGTTTTACACGACCAAATTTCAGTTATTTTTTTAATCAATTCCAACAATTCCCCACATGAATGGAAATTCGAGTATGTACATGTAATGCTATGATGTGATGCATTGTAGTGAGAGAGATAGCCACTGCATCGAGGATGGAAACTTTTGGCCTTGAACCTCCCGTAGTTAAATACCATCGGACTTACTCGGCTAAGTGGTGAACGTGATGTTTTGAACCATTCAGCCTTTAGTGTAAGCTAAGACAACAATACTCACATAGATGTCTTCCCTATTCCGTACTTGTTTCCCATGTCTTGGTTCATTTTGGCCCTGAACCCATCTCGGTTTCATAAGTTTTTAATGAATTCAAGCCTCGAATAATTCTTATTGAAGCGACCTCACTTCACACTTACATAGGTGATCTCCTATTAAGTGTATTATGTCCTACTCCACTTAGCTTTAATCAAGATATAGGAATTATTAAAAGATTAACTTAACCTTTAACCACTCTGCAAAAAGTACTTTCGTATCATAGAAATGAGTTAGAAAATTTGATTTACTAAGTGTTTCATGGAATCCTCACAACTTAGTTGTCTCTTTGAACTAAGATCTTGGAATCTCCAGTCAATAAGGTAGGGTTACCATTGCAAAGACTCTTATGTAGTAGACTTTAATCACATTCCTTTCGATAGACAACTTACTTGATCTCTAAGCAAACCTTTTGTAAGTGGATCCGCAACGTTCTCCTTTGATTTCACATAATATACGGAGATAATGCCATTTGAGATCAGTTGCTTAATAATGTTATATCTACTACGTATATGTCTAGACTTACCATTGTACATGCTACTTCTTTCCCTTCCAATCGTCAATTAACTATCACAATGTATACTAATTGGAGATACCGACTTAGGCCAACATGGAATGTCTTCTAGAAAATTATGAAACCATTCTGCTTCTTCTCCAACTTTTTCCAAAGCAATAAACTCGAATTCCATAGTTGATCGAGCTAAACACGTTTGCTCTGTCGATTTCCATGAGACAGCAGCTCTAGCTCGGGTAAACACATAGCCACTAGTGGACTTGGAATCTTTCATATCGGATATCCAATTTGCATCACAATATCCTTCCAATACTGCAGGATATTTCATGAAGTGTAACCATGGTTTAAGGTATGTTTCAAATACCCAAGTACCCTTATTAAAGCCTTCCAATGATCATGACTTGGATTACTCATGAATCTATTAAGTTTGTTCACCGCAAAGGCAATGTCCGATCAAGTACAATTCGTAATGTACATTAGACTGCCCATCGCTTGTGAATACCTTAGTTGTGACACGCATTCTCCCTCATTTTTGACTAAGTGCAAACTTGGGTCAATAGAGGTTTGTGAAGGACTTTCCTTGAATACTTTGTATTTCTTAAGTACTTTCTCAATGCAATGTGATTGGGAAAGTACAAGTCCTTCCGACGTTTTAGTAATTTTAATTCCTAAAATCACATTTGCTACATCCATGTCTTTTATATCGAAGTGCTTCGTTAACATTCTCTTGGTGTTGAGTAGCACTTCGTGACTATTGCCCATTATCAATATATCTTTTACGTAAAAACATATTATTACATAGACACTTGGTGTATTTTTCACGTATCAACACTTGTTACATTCATTTATTTTGAATCCATTTGGCAACATTGTTTTGTCAAACTTTTGGTGCCATTGTTTCGGAGCTTGTTTCAATCCATATAGGGACTCAAAGAGTTTACAAATTTTGTCCTTTTGATTAAGAGAAACGAAATCTTCATGTTGCTCTATGTATATTTCCTCTTCTAACTTACCATTTAGGAATGTCGTTTTAACATCCATTTGATAAATCTCAAGGTTATGTATTGCCACAATTGTAATTAGTAACCTTATAGATGTGATTCTAGTTACGGGTGAGTAGGTAACAAAGAAGTCAAATCCTTCTTTTTGTCTATATCATTTGGCAACCAACCTAGCATTATACTTGTCAATGCATCCATCTGGTTTCAACTTTTTCCTGAATATCCATTGGCATCCCAAAGACTTATTCCCAGAACGTAAATCAACAACTCTCATGTATAATTTTGCATTATGGAATCTATTTCGCTATTGATAGCTTCTTTTCAATGCGATGCTTCCGGAGTTGACATAGCTTCTTCGAAAGTTTTCGGGTCATTTTCTACCATATAGGTTAGAAATTTCGAATTAAAGGATGTGGACGTTCTAGCCCGTTTACTACGCCTTGGTTCTTCCTCACTTGAAGATCCTTTCGTAGTTTCATAAGTTCTTTTATTCGAGCTTTCAAATTCCTTGTCTTTGCAAGGAAATTCATTTTCAAAAAATGTTGCATTCCTTGATTCAATTATCCTACCCTTGTGTACGTCTTGAATTTCCGACTTGTGTGCAAGGAAACGATATGCATTACTTTTATTGGCGTATCCAAAAAATATGCAATCAATCGTTTTATGTTCAATTTTTACTTGTCTAAGCTCAGGAACTTCAACCTTTGCCAAGTACCCCACACTTTTAAGTGCTGATAGGACAGAGGATGAACTTTCCATAACTCATAGGGAGTCTCTTCCATTTTCTTATGGAGTACCATGTTAAAAAGATGATTTGCTGTTAAGATGACTTCTCCCACAAGTTCTGAGGTAAACTCGTACTTATCAGCATTGCATTCATCATTTATTTAAGTGTTCTACTTTTTCGTTTTGCAATGCCATTCAATTGAGGAGAGTAGGGTGCCGTTATTTGATGAATGATTCCATGTTCGGAACGGGATTCTTCAAATGGTGCCCCATATTTACCTCCTCTATTACTACAAATATTTCTAATTCGTTTGTTAAGTTGCATTTCAACTTCAGCCATGTATAATTTGAAGGCATCCAATGCTTTGTCTTTACTTTTTAAAAGAAAGACATAGCAATACCTTGTACAATCATCGATGAAAGTTACAAAGTACTTCTTACCCCTCTAGTTTGTACGAATTTCAAATTGCATGTCACTATGGATTAGTTCTAGAGGTATCGTATTCCGTTGTATCGAATGGAACGATGTTTTAGCTATTTTTGCTTAAACACATACTTCACATTTGTGATTAGGATCGATTTTAAGCGCCGAAATTAAACTTTGATTCATAAGTTTGTGCATTGATTTAAAATTCACGTGTCCTAATCGACCATGCCACAAACAAGATAGCTCAAGCAAGTAAACAGAACTTGTAATTTTATTCATAATGCCTTGCTTAGGTACAATTGTTAGAACATTCAACTTGAACGTTCCATCACACATATAACCTTTTCCCACATACATTTCATTCTTAAATAACACAAACTTGTCGGACACAAATACAAGTTCAAAACAATTTTTACTGAGTAGAGACCCGGATACTAAATTTTTGGGTATGTCCGGCACATGTAGGACAAGTTCTTTCCTAGATGCCATCTTCAATGTGACTTTGCCTTGTTCTTCAATCTTGAAATTTGCAGCATTTTTCATAAAAAGTTGTTCCCCATTCAATTCTTGATGGTTAGAGAACATTCCCTTATCGGCACATACACAACGGGTAGCACAGGTGTCAACCCACAATTCCTTTGTGTTGCCAATCATATTGCACTCGAACACAACCGCAAAGAGGCTCATCTCTTGTATTCCTTCAGATAGGATGACCTTCTCGACAATGGGGGCTTGTGCATTCTTATTTTGTTTTCGACATCACTTGAGCAATGTCCGGCTTTCTCACAATTATAATAGTTTCCTTTAAACTTTTTAGTCTTCTTGAACTTATCTCTACACGATGCATCACTGAAAATCTTTCGCTTCTTATTGACCTTTGGCTCGATTTCGACGAACTTTGCTCCAAGTTGAACAATTAGCTTCTTCTCGGTCTTCCTCAATCCTCAAGCGGACGATCAACTCTTCCAAGTTCATCTCTTTACGTTTGTGCTTGAGATAATTTTTGAAATCTCTCCACAAAGGAAGAAGTTTTTCGATGATGGTCGCAACTTGGAATGACTCAGTTCCATTTTTTCGACATAAATGTCGTGCAATAAGACTTGGATCTCTTGTACTTGGCTGATCACTATTTTTGAATCCACCATTTTGTAATTTAAAAACTTGCCAACGATGAACTTTTTGGTTCCGGCATCCCCGATCTCGTACTTCTTTTCCAATGAATCCCATAAATCCTTAGTCGAGTCTTTCGAACTATACACACCATATAGTGTGTTATCCAATCCATTAAAGATGTAGTTTTTGCACAGAAAGTCGGAGTGCTTCCATGCATCCAAAGTAATGATCAACTCCCGATTGTTTTCTCCTTATAAGACGGGAGCGGTTTCCCTAAAAAACTTAGCCAAATTTAGCGTAGTGAGATAAAGCATCTTTTGTTGCCATCTCTTAAAGTCTACGCCACTGAACTTTTTCGATTTCTCCCCATGATGGATTGACGTAGCTCGAATTGGTATCGTTATTGGATGAGCAACATTATTTGCTCTAGGTGGGACAAACTTTTTCATTTCAATTTGACTTGTATTAGCCTATGGGTGTCAAAAAGGCTCGACGGCCCAGCTCGTGACTCGGAGCAACTAAGCCGAGGCTTGGGCCGAGCCCCATTTTGGGGACACGAGTCGACCCCGAGCTGGCCCATGAGCATAAAAAAAGGGCATAAAAGGCAGAATTGCTGCTGCCTTTAAAAAGGTAGAATAGAATTATGCCTTTTAAGAGAAAAAAAAGAGCCAAAGCAGCCGGAAAGGGGGAAAAAAAGAGCCGGCCCGGCTCGGCTTGGCTTGAAAAAGCCCGAACTGAAACTTTTTGGCAGAGCAAAAGCTCGATTCTCTTGGGCTTGTAAAAAAGCTCGACCATTTTAACCGAGTTGAGCTCAAGCCAAAAGTTTTAGGCTGGGGCTCGGCTCGTTGACATCCCTGTATTAGCCGTTACACAAACAGAAGTTCAACATAGTAACAACGAAAAAAATGAATAGTACACGACTATTCCAAAATAGAGTGTTTAAAACAACAGCAGCAGACGTACAAAATTTGTCATAATCTTGTTGTTTCGGGTATTTATTTTAGCGTTATTATAGCTGTATATGTTGTAAATGAACAAAATTTCAACCCGTAGGAACATAGTCGAAACAATATTATTGTATGGCAAAGTTCCAACCCGCAGGAGCATAATTAGAATACAATATAAGAACACAAAGTATATGACTAAAAAGACACACAAAACCAAAATGAAATAAGGAGTCGAAAAAAATTCGAGGCGAGTATAATTCTTTCCTTAAGACAAATTGTCTCGCTACGATACTCACAGTTGAACGGCAAATGTCTTCGAAGATACAACGGATACACACTTGTGGTAGCAGCACTTCAAACCACAAAAACGGTGAAACTCCGACGAAATTTCCCCTCTACAAAGGAATGTTATGAAAATAAAAGAAAGATGAATTGCAAGAGAAGAATGGATGCTCAATGCAATGGTGTGCTTAAAATCACGTCCATATGGTCCTATTTATAGATATAGAAAGGGTGCAGATGAAGTAGTGTGGGCCAAAACATGCATCATTTTGAAAAGTTGCAACACTTTATTTCAAAACATGCATCCTTTCGAAAAGTTGCAACACTTCATTTCTTTTAACTTTGAACCGCAATTTCTCATTCATCTGAAATTGGTTTCAAGATTTCAAATATACCACAACGATCTATTCAGAGAGTAGAATAAGATGATCTATTTACTTTTTGTAATTTGACCATCAGATCAAGTCCAAATATTGACCGAAGTTGACACGAAGTTACACCTTTCCATTTTTCCAGTTTTACACTTAACCAATTTTCCTTTTTTTTTTTTTAACCAATTCCAACAGTTGTCAATAAAAGCTTAATTCCTATTAAATTACCAACAAGTTCAATGGTAAATTAGTATACTACGAACTGTATTGTCAATCAATAATCTCCAACCTTCATGTGGCTGTAATATGAGGTAGACCAAGTGCTACTTTAAACCTCCTTCATTCGATGCAAAATTAACACATTTTCTAATTTAAAGCAAAACTTCTTAAAAAGAAATTCCTAAGGATGCTACCTTAAGCTAGCTTCCTTTAAGGGCCTGCTGGGATTTTCGAGTACCGGTTATAATCATTTATTAAAGTACCGAATTTGAGAATTATGAGTGAACGAAATTTTAGTACTAGTTTTAGTAGCCATTTTCAAGACAGTTCAACCAATGCTTGAGAGTTTATTATTCATCGGTTCTGAAATTTTTTAGTAGTAAAACAACATATGCGTCCCTTAGTAAAATTTTAAATCTATAATTTTTATATGAAATTTTTTAAGTGATATTTTACTTACAAGTAATTATTTCACATATAAGTTACTATTTAACTAAAAAAGTTAAACATTTACTCAAAATTTTATGTTAGCATTTTTTACTTCATAAATAAATTTTATAATTATAAGTTAATTTTGTACTTTTAAATATTTTTTACACATAAGTCAATTTTTTACTTATGAATAACTTAAAATATTTTATAAGTGAACTTTTGACTTTGTAGTAGTATTTGTACTTTATAAACAAATTTTTACATAAAAGAGATTTTTTATCTTACAACTAATTTACTTATAAGTTTTTTAATTATTAAGTAAATTTTTTGCTTATAAATAATTTTTTAGTTAATTTATTTTCATTTACAAGTTGTTTTGAATAAAATATGTTGGTGGAAAATAATTATTTTATAGATATAAAATTAGAAGAGAATATGAAAAATTGTCAAAACCCACCAATGTGGTAGGTTTAGAGCAATGATCAACATTAGACTATCAATTTTGGGTATTTTTTGAACCATCCAAAACCAATGTCCCAAAAAATTAGCAAACACCATTTTTCCCAACCTCTCATAGATGGTGCCATCCAAAATCAATGAGAACCAGTGAAAAAAAACTCCCAAGCAAGCCAGACAAAGCACTTTTATAAAATTATCCAAACATGTTCAAAATACATATTCTTAGCCTCAGATGGAGGTTTTGACTCTTTCCCTTAGAATACTTCCTTATAAAGGAAAGGTAAGTAAGGAATTAATATGTGAAAATTCAGAGTATACCAATATTTATTCAAGTAAATGTTTGTGGTATTAAAGATTGGGGAAAAATTTATAGTTCCTCCATCCCAAAGTGAAATTGAATGTTTTAGTTTAACTTGAGCGTTTGGTTGAGAAGAAATTGAAAAGCTGCATATTTTTTAAGCCTTTTTATTTGTCCCCAGAGGTGTGATGTAAAAACATTCAATTGGCTTGAGTTCGGTACTAATGAAAATAAATAACAAATTTACGTTGAAAAGGGAAGAGAGATTGATAGTAGCACAAGACAACACGTGAATCATAGAGCTACTATTGACATTAAACCACGGTTTGAACTGTTCACCAGGGATACGTTTGATACATAGTATCACATGAGAGATTGGACATTACAATGGACTACTTTTTCTTCTTTAATACTGTCTAGTGTCATTCAGAGAAAGATTCGGTCACCCCACATGCTAACAATCTATAATCAGGCAAAGACAAAATAGGTAGTAGACAAGCAGCTTTGTAAAGGTGGAATATAACCAACCTGAGTGTTTTCTTCAAGCTTGACCACCTATTTCAGCGGTATCATTCCCTTTTACCACTTTATACATGGGGCACATTCTGGTGATATTCCATGGACTACCTGTAATCAGAGAGTAGGTCTGTGTTATATAAAAGCCACCTACCCTCTTCTCTACACAAAGAACAAAGGTAAACTCAATTAACTTAGAACAGGCAGATGGGTAAGGAAGAGGAAGAGAAGGAATAAGATGTCTTATATTTCAATGGGGGAAAAAATAATAATAATGGTTAGAACAATTAGTCAATAACAAAAATCTGGCCTTCTGTATCAAAATTATAGTCACATTAAAAAAATATATATATTAAAATAGGCCAATGACCAAATTAGAGACACTAGATCATTGCACAATGAAAAATAAAATTCTAATGAATACAAGTGCGCAAGGCAACAAAGTTTTAGATCCATAAAGGTTACAAGAGAATAGTTTTGCTAATGCAACATCTTTATGAAAAAAATGCAGTCAATCAATAAAAAGAAGCCCAAAGAGGAAAATCCTACTTATCTACTGTTTTGAAGCAAATAACTGAAAACTTTTTTCCACTTTGCTTGATCTAGAGCTAATTTTTCCGTCAATACACCTCAGAGGGTAAAAGGCCAGAGGAATGTTATGAATCAAACTTCTAATAGAAGTTGATTTCTCACCTAATCGACTGTTTATATGTCAATCATGTCATAAACAGTCAACAAAGTTACAACAAAAATCAAAATCAAATAAAATCCTAATTCCTATATAATTGAAAGACATGCGACGAGATTTTATAGCTACTGTTTCTTCTCACTGGACACACCATTCTCAACTCTGCCATCAACAGCTTGATAAGGAACTTCAAACATTGGTCTTGGGACAGGACGCCCACCAAAGTCATCTGGAAACTGTTCAAAATCAGGACCAAAATTGAACTTGACAACACAATTTGGTTGGCTCGGAAGAGTATACATTGAAGCAGCAGGATGGTAACGACCACCATAAAGATCCTTGAAAGCAACACCTTGGCATATACCGTTTTTGAAAAAAGATATCTCACTTCCTGCACAGCAGAACAGTTTATAAAGAACTCAGCAAATGGGCTTCTCAGCAGAAGAACTCTATATCTGAGAACTAAGCTTCTAAAAAATTAGACTGCTAACATGAATCAAAAGAAAAATTTAATGCATAACATTATGCTGATATTAACACCAGAAAAATCAAAAATATTTCTTGTTAGAAGGCTCAGATACAAAATATCCATAGGATCAATCAAACATATTGCATCCACTTAAAAAATAAAACTTCCAATGACTGCTACTGTTTTCAGTCATTCACTGACTTAAAAAGAGAAATGTTAAGGCAATGTAGAAAGATCAAGGCAAAAACAACTCAATGTTCCGATGCAACATAGCAAAGAAACACGAATAGAGAGGAAAAGAGTAGCAAGATATGAGACAAATATAACCAAGAAGAGCAGTTTTATATATATTGAAGAAGAAAAAGCAGCAAGAATGGGATAGGATCATTCACCAAAAAATTTCTACATCAGAATGTCATTGCCGGGTGGTCTCCCATCTGCCAGGCAGTTGTGATTTGCTACAATGAGAAATGCTAAAAGCTACAAGCATATTCCTTGAGCAGCTCAATGGCCAAAAACATTACTGAAGTGGTTGTTTGATGGTGCTTATAAGTTGTGGGTCCTTCGTAATATGTGGATAGTAAGTAGATTGTTGGGTCCTAGGAAATTTAAAGATAAATGTACGTTTCACCAACTTAAATTATATTTTTATGCTTTGCCAAACATGCTTTAACTAGAACTATTCATACTTACAAACTCAAAGATACATCTAATTGGAAAACCGCAGTCAAATTACAATAGGCAAAGCTCCTAATATGACTCCTACTAAAGCATAATCCAATATGAGGAAAACATGTAGTAGGCAATCTAAGTTAACCAAAGTAAAACCAACATTCTTCTAGTAATGATCATCAATACAAGAGGTAAATAAAAAGAAAAAAAATAGGCCATAGACCACGCACATGGTAGAAATTAATGCTTCACTCACCCGGCACAACTTTTGGGGGATCCTCCTTGGGATTGGGAGCACAAACGTACCGCTGGCCCTTGTACAAAACCATGCGTGGAGGATCAGGTGCATAGGACCCTCCGTCAGGCAAATTGATATAAAAACCGATAACATCACCTTCTTTATATCCTTCCTCCCCATACTTCTCCCTCAAAGCCTTGTGCACTTTACTCCCATCAATGTCCCTGTATCCAAAGCTATTACAATCATACCCTACAGGCGCCTGCAAGTCCCCTTTATCTGTGGACCACCCCAACCTTGTATGCCCCGTCTCACCCAAATGCACCACCTTAATCTCGAAATACCATGCGCCCTCTTCAACCCCCCTTGTCGCCCTAACCATTCTGTACCCCTTCGTGCTGCCCGCACTCAATCTATCCTCTCCTAATTCCACTTTTTCAGCCTTATAAACCTTGGAGAGGCAAATCTTCAAATCCGGGCTATCATCACTTTTGTCAGGAAACCTCGGAATAGGGGTTATCAAGACCTTATCTTCAGTTGCCGTGTTGGTACCTGTGGCATTTTTAGAATTGTGGTTTCCATTGGAGGCATTTTTTGCCTTTTTCTTACCCTTCCTTGTGGTCGTCGTCCACACATCCTTGCTCTTCTTCTTCAACTTCTTGCTTGTTTTCGCAGCTGTGGCTTTTCCATTTTGGGAAGGGGGCGTAGTTCCCTCCATGACCATGGCCGAGGGAGTTTCGGCAATTTCATTCTCTAGGAGCTCAGGTTTGGGCAAGTCGGGTAGTTGTTTTAGCTTCTTCGGTTGGGACTCTTCTTCTTCTTCTTCCTCCTCCTCCTCCTCCTCCTCCTCCTCTTCCTCTTCCTCCGAAATTGGAGAATGTTGGGATCCATTTTGGTCGGATTCCGGAGCTAGTGGAGTTCCATGGTTGGAAATTTCGTCGGAGGAAATTTCCTCTGATGCGAGAGTCTCTGGCTCTTCTTCGATGCCGTTCACGGGCTCGGATCTCGGGTCCGGATTTGTGGTGGCAGTGCGGGGAACATTGGCTTCCTTGGACGATGCACTGGAGGGCAGCGGAGGCGTCGGCGTAGTGACGTCGTTCACATTTTCGTCACCGTCTATGGAAGCAGCCCGGAGGGTAACCATATTGCAGTGGAGGTAGTCGAGTGCTGGTCTTGATTTGGGGTAGAAGAAATTTGGGTTATATAACAACAAAAGTGGATGTGGGCTTTGGCCCATAGAAAAATGTCATAGATAAGCCATTCCACTTCTTCACTGACACCATCCCTCACTTTACCAGCACCAACATCGGTACAAACGGTACTATAGCCCGCGGTCACGCAAATGCTCAACGGGCACCGCTTCACTCGCGACGAAGTCCATCATCGTTGCTTCTTGCGATCATCATGTTACTGCTATTGTGATGAAGGAGGATCCGAGTCGAGTGATGCTGATTTGTCAGATAGCACGATGATGACGTTGAGATACCATGAGATGGCGGATCGACGCAAAGATGGAAAGTGAATCACCATTATTTCCTTAATTCGGGGAATTTGACGCGTCTTTTGATAATTTGACCATAACTTTGGTTACGATTATTGGAATCGCTATTATGACCCCAATCCGAAAAGCTCTCTTCGGCGCGCATGTCGTAGCCACCCAGCTATGCTCGGTGAACGTCAATTTCGAACTCAAAATCCACTGTTTTCCTTTCCAAAATTCAATTTTAAGTTATTTTTTACTATTTATGGAAATATTTCATTTCCTTTTTTCCATATGTTAGAAAACTTTTTTTCAGATAGCACGATGATAGCGCTGAGATACCATGAGATGGCGGATCGGCGCAAAGATGGAAAATGAATCGCCATTATTTCCTTAATTGGAGGAATTTGACGCGTTTTTGGTAATTTAGCCATAACTTTAGCTATGGTTATCGAAATAACTATTATGACCCCAATTCGGAAAGCTCTCTTCGGCGCGCATGTCGTGGCCACCCAGCTATGCTCGGTGGACGTCAATTTCGAGCTCAAAATCCACTATTTTTCTTTCCAAAATTCAATTTTAAGTTATTTTTTACTATTTATGGTAATATTTTGTTTCCTTTTTTCTATATGTTAGAAAACTCGAATTGAGCCAAATTTTTGACAACTTACTTTTTTTACTTAATATTTTATTTTGGTATAATTTCGGAATTTTGCCATTTTTGGTAATTTTCCTATAATTTCGTATTTCGCAGTTATTTAACTCGGCTTGTGGGTTAATTTTGATCATTCGGCATTATTAATAATATTGAGTTAAATTCAGAGTATTTTCTCTGATTTTTGGGCGTTTTCTGTCGTTCTTTTCTTGCGAATCATCTGCTACAACAAGCCAATAGGATATTCAATATCCTACCCGGCGTCAGTTGGTATCAGAGCATCAACATCTTCTTAACTTACTTCTTTTACTTAATATTTTATTTTGGTATAATTTTGGGATTTTGCCATTTTTGGTAATTTTCCCATAATTTCGTATTTAGCAGCTATTTAACCCGGCTTGTGGGTTAGTTTTGATGATGTTGCATTATTAATAATATTGAGTTGAATTCAGAGTATTTTCTCTGGTTTTTGAGCGTTTTCTGTCGTTCTTTTCTTGCGAATCATCTGTTACAACAAGCCAATAGGATAATCACTATCCTACCTGGCGTCAGTTGGTATCAGAGTGTCAGCATCTTCTTGGGAGATAAATTCCATCAGTTATAATGGTTGGTGGACGTGATCGTGGTTGTCGAGGACAGGTTCCGATTGAGGAAGTCCCGCACCGTGATCGTAATATTCAGGATGTGAAGATTGAAGATTTGCAGAGACAAGTTGCGGAGTTAACCCAACGTTTGGCGGAGCAGGAGTTCGGTAATCATGATGTGGAAGGTCACGATTCCGATACCAGTTTTGAAAACCCGTATCACCATCGTGCTCGAGTTTGGGAGCATCGTGGACGAGAGGATTGTCATGTGGATCTCGGTTTCAGAGTGGATCTGCCTGAATTTTCTGGTACGTTGCAGGCTAAAGGATTTATTGATTGGTTGAATGAAGTGAAGTGAATTTTTGAATATAAGGAGGTTCCTGATCGTGTCAAAGTGAAACTGGTCACCATCAAACTCAAAGGTAGGGCATCTGCATGGTGGGAACAGTTGAAGCGTTCACGGGAGCGACAGGGGAAATCCAAAATTACTAACTGGGAGAAGATGAAAGGGCACTTCCTCCCTTTCGGCTATACTCAAACCTTGTTTCAGAGGCTTCATTCACTAAGGCAATGCACAAGATCAGTCAATGGTTATACTAAAAAATTCTATCAGTTGGTGGCTCGGAATGATTTATCTGAGACGGAGGAGCAGATGGTAGCACGGTATTTGGGGGGATTAAGGCAGCCCCTCCAGGATGTTCTCAGCTTTCATTCATTGTGGACAGTTTCTGAGGCATATCAACGAGCACTTGCAGTAGAGAAACAGCAAAGTAGGAGGCCGGTGGTTAGAGGTGAAGGAAGTCAGCCAGTTCGCCCTCAAAAATCTCGTCCTGCTTATCAGCCACAGCAGGATAGTTCCAACTCAAGTATTAAGTGCTTTAAGTGTGGTGAACAGGGGCATAGGACGACTGATTGCAGGAAGCCTGCTGGTCAGAAGAATAAAATTTTTCTGATTGAGGATGATATGATAGAGCAATTCAAGGAAGTTGGGGAACCCTTGTATGATGAGGGTGAAGATGAGAACGTGCTATATGGAGATGGTCAGGAGACCCTGGTCGTTCGAAAGAGCCTGCTGACTCCCAAGGGCGATTCAGGGGATGATTGGTTGAGGATCAACGTTTTCCACACAACTTGCACAGTTGCTAATAAAGTCTGTAAGCTGATAATTGATAGTTGCAGTTGTGAGAATGTAGTGTCTAAGGAGGCTATCGAGAAACTGCAACTGAAGATGGATCGTCATCCCAAACCATACAAGTTATCTTGGCTGAATAAAGGCAGTGAGGTAACTGTAGAAAAACGATGCTTAGTGTCTTTCTCGATTGGAAAAAAATATTTTGATAATGCTTGGTGTGATGTGGTATCAATGGACGCGTGTCATATTTTGTTGGGACGACCTTAGCAGTATGATCGCAGTGTTATCCATGATGGGCGGAAGAATACTTATTCTCTTAGCATCAAAGGAAAGAGAATTGTTTTGGTGCCTCGTAGGGAAGGAAACATCCCTGCCCCGGTAGTTAAAAACCCCAATCTACTTTCTATGTCCAGGTTTTTGGTTGAAGTTGTGCGTGAAAAAATAGTTTATGCTTTAATGCCTCATGAAAATAATACAGCGAATGTGGATTCGAAATTTCCAGCAGAAGTACAGCAACTACTGATGGAGTTTTCTGACTTGATGCCGGAGGATCTTCCTCCAGGACTATCACCTATGAGGGACATTCAACATCAGATCGACCTCATTCCGGGGTTGAGTCTTCCAAACCGACCAGCATATCGCCTCAGTCCCAAGGAAGCTGAAGAGTTGCAACGACAGGTGGTCGAATTATTGGAAAGGGGCTACATTTGTGAGAGTATGAGTCCTTGTGCAATTCCTGCTCTACTAGTGCCGAAGAAAGATGGGTTATGGCGTATGTGTGTTGACAGCAGGGCAATTAACAAGATTACAGTAAAGTACAGGTTTCCAATTTCCCGTCTGGACGACATGTTGGATCAATTGTCCGGTTCTAAGGTCTTTTCAAAAATTGACCTTAAAAGTGGATACCATCAAATCAGAATCGGGCCTGGAGATGAGTGGAAGACCGCGTTTAAGACACAACATGGGTTGTACGAGTGGATGGTCATGCCCTTTGGAATATCCAACGCACCTAGCATTTTTATGAGGTTTATGCATCAGGTTTTACGACCTTTCATGGGAAAGTTTGTGGTAGTTTATTTTGATAACATACTTATTTATAGTCTGACATGGGAGTCACATTTTAATCATCTTTGTGCTGTCTTTGATGTAATGAGGACGGAGCGCTTATTCATCAATCAGAATAAGTGTTCTTTCTTCACAACTTCTGTAACTTTTTTGGGTTTTGTTGTGTCTACTGATAGTGTTCATGCAGATCAATCCAAAATTGAGGCAGTTTTGAATTGGCCAAAACCAAAAACACGATGTCAGGAGTTTCCATGGATTGGCATCCTTCTATCGTCGATTCATCAGAAATATCAGTACCTTGATTGCTTCTATCACAGAGTGCCTTAAAGGGCGTGATTTTCAGTGGACTGAGGAGGCAGAGGCTAGCTTTCAGTTGGTTAAGCAGAAGATGACAGAGGCCCCAGTCTTGGCACTTACGAATTTTGAAAAGGTGTTCGAGGTAAACTGTGATGCGTCTGGAGTTGGTATTGGTGGTGTTCTGAGTTAGGAGGGACGTCCAGTAGCCTTTTTTAGTGAGAAGCTATCGAGATCGAAGAAAAATTATTCCACTTATGACCTGGAGTTCTATGCCATAGTTCAGACTCTGAAGTATTAGCGCCATTACCTGGTATAGAGGAAGTTCATCCTTGTTACTGATCATGAGACTTTGAAGTACATCAATGGTCAGCACAAGCTGAGTAGGCGACATGCAAAGTGGGTGGCATACTTGCAGGAATTTATTTCACACTCGGGCATCAAGCAGGGAGTTTGAATCGAGTAGCAGATGCATTGAGCCGTCGCACATTACTCCTCACCACCATGAGCACCAATATTGTCGGATTTGAGGCATTTCCTGAAATGTATGCTGCGGATTCTTCATTTGGGAAGATAATTCGGGAGGTAACTAATAATCACCGACATGATTTTGTTTTACATAATGGTTACCTGTTTCGTGGATTGCAGTTATGCATTCCGGATTGTTCACTAAGGCAGCAGATTATTAGTGAACTTCATAACGAAGGATATTTTGGGCGAGACAAGACATTGACATTGGTCTCTTCTGATTATTACTGGCCCAAGTTGAGCAGTGATGTGGCGCATTATGTGGAGCGGTGTTATGTATGTCAGCGGTCTAAAGGGGCTCTTACTAATGCTAGATTGTACACACCATTACCCGTACCTGAAGCTCCTTGGTTTGATGTCAGTATGGATTTTGTCTTGGGCTTACCTCGTACACAGCGGGCGATGAATTCCATTCTTGTTGTGGTTGACAGATTTTCAAAGATGGCTCATTTTGTGGCTTGCCG